CGTCAGTATCCTATAATACCCACGTCTATGAACTTATAACGTTGCCAGAGCATCAAATAAATAGACGTATCTATTTAGTTGCCCGGTGGTACCGAGCTCGACTCTAGTCCGTATGTTGTGGGCAAATACGACAAGAGAGCAAGTTTGCCGCTCCGTAAGAAACGTTAATGAATGGAGGGCGAATAACCTATGTTAACTATCGTTCTGATCAAGTGATCGTAATATCTAATCACGCTCAAGTCGATGATGTGTAACCCGAAGCAACTGGCAACCTAGTTGTCCACTGCCAACCTCCACACTATTGTGTATTGCAGCTTCATCGTCCCTTTAAAATTTGCGGTCCTGCGTCTTCACGCGCCGGCGCCGTTCACTACTTTGTTTATTTTAGCGGCTGCATGCACTTTGCGCATTATTGTTATTGCCAGTCTGCGATTATTCTTTTTTTATTCCAGTAACTGCGAGATGAACTTTGGTTATGGTTCTACTGCACTCTCACTGCACTACACCATGGACCCGTTCCGTTTGCGTATTGGTTATGTACGTCTGACGCATAGTATTGTTATTACCGTCTATATGCACTTTCTTAATTGCTATTCTCCCCAGTTCCCTGCACCCCGCCCATCAACGCACACGCTTGAACAATTGTTTATTGATTCTGTCCGTGACCTCATTACAACTGTTGTTTTGCCGAGCTACCAACAGCGGACCACCATGAACGACCAGTACTACACGAAGCCTCGGTGCACACTCCGCGCGCCGGAGCTGCTCAGCTTCCCCGCCGGTTCGATGTCCCATATTTTCATGGCCCCTGATGTTCTGAGTCGTCTAGACGGGCTCTTTAATACTATAGAGCCAACTCGGCTACACCAAACATCGGCACTCTTCACCTGCTTTAAAATCAATCGTCATAATATAATCTTAGTTCCGTGGATGACGGCCCCACCGACGGGCACGCCCGTCGCCCGCTGCCGCCCGCAGCGGCGAGCCTGCAGGAGATATGCGGAATGCCAGCAGTTGTGCCGCCCACCGATTGGGCTATTCCCACTCGTCCCACCAGCCAATGCCCGTTAAGTGTATCGGTGCTCCTCAGTGCGGAACCCTAGTTTTTGCAATCTTTAACGCCGATTTGGAATTCCGGGCGCCGGCCGCTAACCGCCCATGTAGGGTGATCAGGTTGGTAACACGCGACAATGCTAGCATCTATGTCCCGAGATCTTAACGGACCCCCCCTCAGCCCGGGCCCGCCAACCCCGAATTGTGCCGATAGAATCTGGGTCATCACGTTACGCAGCATCTTCACTTTTACTGGTTTGCAATTTCGTCAGTTTGTGTGACCTCAAAAACATTCCGTACGGCCGCATCCCACGCTGACAAAGCCGCTTTTAATATATGTAAGTGTGCTTGTGTTGTATATATATATAATATACCTTATTATCATATTATATTATAATTATATATATACTATTATACTATAGCGTAGATTATTCTTAAAGGATCGCAGTCACGTGATCGCACAAATCTACTTATTCCAACGGCGTTCGTTAATCGTTTTATTCATATATCGTGCCGCTGCTCGGGTCTATCATCGAGCATCGCATCCCCTGAGAGGTTAGCACGATGCTTGTTACTAGGACGTAGACGTTTAGAGTGAAATAGCCACTCGTAAAACACGTGTATCGTTGAGTAAATACATAGGGCAAGGGACCGCCTAGTATTTGCTCCTAGGTATGTGCATCTATCGTGCCCCCCCATGTAGACGTAGGCAGTACACGAATCCAAATTTTGTGTTCGATTCTTCTCTAATAGCATGCTAACGATCTAGTTTCTGCCAAAATGAAACATGCTAGCGGTGTGTACGGGGTATTCGGTCCTCTACCGCTGTAGACCCGTTATCTTCTGACTGCATGATAAAACGGCTCCGTCATGTATCACGTTCTGCGACATTGACTTTGTGCTCGCCAATTTGATTTTAAACCGATATAGCATTCTCATTCGGTTGCATCGCCGATCAACGATCCATTTGCATAAGCGGAGTGAGTAGACGCTCCATCTGATTTTAACACGCCAACGCTTTTAATTATGAATTTCGATTTAATTCTTCATGTCTTTCACTCAAACTAGTATTTGAGTTAGATCCCGTTGTTGTGGTTGCTGCTAGTCAAAAATCTCATGACTCGTTGTATCATTAATACGATGCTGCCTGCGTCAATGAAGGCAAACACTTGTCAGCCTATGATGTAATTCCTGAAGGAACTTAGTCGTTCAAAAGTCTCTAGTAATGATGGTTCTAGCAGAACGAGCGCGCTGAACGTAGTAGCTTTAAGAGCTCGCCTTCTACGGCGACTCGATCTAATCCTTGTATTATTGTTGTTAGTGGCCCGCCGCTCTAATGCTACTATATTCAGCAGGGTAAAATATAGGCTATACATGTCTATATTTGTACACTACCTGATACTGTCATATGACCTTCCGTGAATCCGATTCGTCGAGTTCATTCGCTAGCCAGCGAGAGTGTTTGTTGTTGCGCGCAGGAAATTAAACCACGATGGCGTTGGCACGTTGCGCTCCTCTGACTCCTGTCCCCTCGGCATGCGTGTCGGGCGCGCGTTCTCACAAACATCATAAGATGTTCGCGCAATAGGTATGTGTCTCTAAAAATATACGACACTTGCGCGTGCTAAGCGTTATAACATTTTATAAGACATGATAGTCATGCGTATTTGAAATGTTCTCTGACAACCTGTCCGTCACTACGCCGAGCGTCGGGTTTCCCTGAGTGAAAGCGTGCGATATATGATGCTAGGATTTATAACTGTCACCGCTGTTCAAGGTAAATGAAGTGCTAATACGCATCGTATGTCTCCGCGTTTCTGTCACTCTATATATATAAAGTATATTCTACTTGAAAATGTCATCTTGTGGGTGTACTTGAAAATTTTGCGTTTCGTTTTTTCAACCGATCTCGCATAGTCATAAACTTGACTTGATTTGATGATGATAACGTGAATTCGCTGACATAAACGATTCGATAATAATTTCGACGAAATTCGATTGAACTCGGCAATTAGAAGCGGTAGATGTTGGTACAGCTCTCCCTACCTAATGATAGAGCGAAAGCATAGGCACTGCCCTCACTGTTTAGTCCGTTAGCTATGCTAGTAATATTGGTACTGCGACCGACATCGTGAATTCATCAATTATTATGAAGCCAGTCGCTTTTTGCAGCCTAAGTCGATTGTCCTAATCATGGGGAGCTTAGATTACAAAAATCGATTTCCATCCAAGATTGCAATATTCCAGTCCCAGATCATGGGTAGGTTTAGATTACAAAAACATTTTTCGTCCCAAGATTGCAAATATTCCAGGTTCATGAATTATAGGGTCCCGACATCCCAGCATAGGGCCCTGAACACAAACTAAGGCGTACTGCCAGGCCTTGATCGAGCTGCTGCGTAGGCCTAATATTTCTATCCAAAACATTATCTCTGACGGCTCTACTCCGGTATCCAAACCGAGCCGTCATAACTGCAGGTCTACCGCCTGTATTTGGATTTTGTAAAATATGATGTTGCAGGTAATGCCGGGGCCATTGGCGTGTATAGATGAGGCCACGCTTATCTGTTCATCCGCACGCCACGCACCGCGCGAGATAATACTACCCCACTGCTACTATACTACTGCTGCTGTCCCCACTACTACTACACTACTGCTGCCACCACTGCTACACCACTACTGCTGCCGCCATGACAGCTTATTATTGAATGCGCGTGAAACTCACGCCCGCCCATTTATGCCCCGACGACAAGACGACAAGAGTGTGTGATTCTCAACAATACCTTTGGGTTCATGGTTTCCTTCAGGTTGCTAGAGATGCTCTGCATAGCAACTGTGCGAGTGCCGGTGTTGCCAGACTGCCCAGGCTCACTGTAGTATACACCTACAACACACGTGCGCACGTGAACGCGTGAGACGTCAGAGCATGCGACCGACAACGCTCCCCACCAAAATCTAACGAAGACAATCGCCACAAGTGAGAATTATTAACGTAAATCATATCGGAGGCTCAAAAGCAGACGCACCTAGAACACGCTACTACGACCGAATGGTTAGAAGAAAAATCACAATGAGGGTACGATGCATCAGTTTGGATTCAAGGATATAGGAGCTGTCCCCAATTCATTTTTGCAATGTGCGACATGTGCAAATGTGGACAGCTTTTATAGCCTTGGGCCTCAGTTTGTATGAAAACAATCCGCATGTTCAAACGAGGAAATAATAGCAGACCGACGAGGTAGGACGAGATGCGAGAAAGCACGTAGTAAGTACCCTGTGTGTAGATGTTGTACGGGAAAGCATACAGGAGGGCGATGGCAGCAAAGAACATCTCGATGCAGATGATGAAGTTCTGGTAACCGGCGGCGACCGTGCCGACTCCTATCTGCTCCTCGCCGCCGACAGCAAAGATGGGGCTGATCAGACCAACGTTCTCAAGAACTGCCAGCAGCATACCTGGCGACAAATATCGTGAGTTAGTCCTCAGTCTACGTAGACAATTTCCCTCATTCAGATCAACGTTCTGAACCGACGAAAAATGCAGCAAACGAAAATTCTATACAGCAATTTAATAATTGTAACGAATCCGTCAGTGGACTCACAAGTCTTCATCTCCGTCCTGTGTTCTACACAGCGCAGCGCATGCCGCTCCCATGAACCCCCAGCTAGCAGTGAAATCAATATAGCAGCTGAACTGACATAGCAGTATGTTACGTAGGTTCCCATATCATTCCCAGTAATGGTCGGTAACAGGATGGCGTATACTTTCATTATATATGCCACCATTCAGATCAATTTAATTTTATCATAACGTCCGACTGACATTTAAATCATTGAGCAGCATTATGAGCAGCATGTACAAACCTGGCCAGTAGATGGCACTGTACTACACACTGCACTACAGCTCTCGCTGCAATCCGATCAGTCAATTCTCGTGATGCTGTTATCACATAAACACTCTCATTACACGTGTGATCGCCCTCCATAGACATTACACGTGTGATCGCCCTCCATAGACATTACACGAAATATAAGAAGTGATGACTTTAAGAACACCCAGTGTGCCCCTCACTTATTTTATGAGGAAATTACAGCGGTGATAAATACAAATGTTCACGCAATTTTTGATAAAGGAAAAGGCATGAAGACTCCACTAGTGTCTCACCTGATTGTTAATAATGCCCACAAATGTCGAAAACAGACAATCAAATAATGACTCCTAATTACGTTACGTGCGCGAAAATGTCCGCGGCATTAGGTGATACGTTTAACTGGATTTTCCTCAGCTGTAAATAGCTTTTTAATCAAATTTTAAGCGAGTTTCAAAAAACAGAAATGGAAGCGCCCTGCGAATTTTCTTCATGAATCCACGGGGAGCACAGAATACTGTACCAATGTATTAAAAGTTTACTGAACATCCTTGGATGAAAACAGCCATACATATTACCAGTATCACTATTTCTCATCAACTATTACAGTTAAAGAGACAATTTCAGGGATTGCTGAGCAAACGGTTGATATGAGAAAGGCAAGTAGTTTTTGAGACTTCTTCCTTCACTTGCCCCCTCGATGCACGCGTGCACACACGCATGCGCGCACACACACACACACATGCGCACATACACACACGTGTAAACACACGCACACACACACAATCATGCACGCACACACACACGCACAGTCACGCACACGCACACACGCACGCATGCATGCGCGTACGCGAGCACACACACGCACGCACGCGAGCACACGTCCGAATGCACGCACACGCACCTTGCCAGAATGACAGGAAGATGACCGACTTGATGGTGAAGAACTTGAGCACGGGGTCGTAGGGGCTGAGCAGCTCGCGCGTCGCTCGGTAGAACAGGAAGAGTGCGTACAGCGCCAGCGTCACCGAGATGTTGTAGACGATCGTCACGTAGAGGTAGCCGCCTTTAACGCTGTCCAGCACACAAGCAAACAACTCGCGCTTAGCTACAGCTTTCACGCGTCGTCACAGAGAGATGGGTCCGTGTATCCGTCGGTCGTTAAGTCAGGCGGTCGGTCGGTCAGATGGATGGTCGGTTAATCAATCGGTTGGTTGGTTAGTTGATCAGTCTGTGTTGTCATCTGTGTGTCTGTGTTGTTATCTGTCGCCTGCCGGCCTGATTCTGACTTTGTCTCTGTCTGATTATGAGTTTCTCACTTAATCTGCCGAACTGCCTGTCAATTGGGCTGTCAGCTAGCATGTCTGTCTGTCACTACGATAATTGATCTATCTGTCTATCGACCTGTCTATTGACCCAGCAGTTGAGTCAGCAGGGAGCACAATATACCAGTATGTTACACTGGCAGTCACCTTTCACTAAAGCCCTTATATTTATTATGCCCTGTCCTTACCTGAAGTCACCATCTTTGTAGAATCCAAGTGCCTGCAGGACGATGGTGATAGCAGCCATAACGGGCTTCACGGCACAGAACTGCAGGGTGGCCTGTAATCACAGCAAGCTCAATGTGACTACACTCTGTTCAATGCCAGTGAGTAGGGTCGGAAGAGCAGGCTATCCAGGTGACAGTGGAGCAAGCTCACCGTGTTAAGATAACATAGAAAGTGGGCAGCTTTAATTATCACCAAGAATCAGCATACAGCCATTACGTATGGATGGCCTAGATTTTACCAGGGAGAGTAATTACCTACTCCTGATATTACGATGACGTAATGTCATAACAATTTTAGCACGAATAAACTTCATATTTGTGTCACTCCCTTCAGACAGGTAGCGATCTACTGCTGCGTGGTTAAGATACGATCGTCAGTAGGTTAAGAGCTAATTACCTGCTTACAGAAGCGTAGAAACTCAATCGTATACTGCTTTCCGTCCAGGCAGCAAGTGCAAGACATGCAGCTCCCTCTGTTAAGCAAAAACAATATTAATTATAATTGCATTACACATGACTTCACCTAAACAGTAGAGCAGTGTTTGTATTAGAACTATTGTAACGTACCATACGACAGATTCGTTTTACAAGAAGAATTCTTATGATAGTGAAGATCAATGGATTTTTGGGTCATGTCAGCCAGTCGTGACATGCGGTTTTAAAAACCCAATCACATCTGGGGGTGGGGGACACACAACTGATCTTTACAATGTCAACAACGGTAGTGCAACACCGGGTGTAGTTATAGCAGTACAGCTTCTATCGCTCCATAATGCGGGGTGAAGGCTGTAGTGCTAGGCGTGCTAGGCGTGCGTGGCTCCAGTGTGCCACTAGACTGATTGACTGACATTACAATGGATTTAAGCAGCATAAATCAAAAGAAATGGAAACGGTCTACGTCCCACGGCGCTTAACAAAACCGTGAACTAATATAGTGCAGCAAAAATTTGAGAGTCAAATAAACTCTAGGGAAATAAATGTTTCCCTTGTGCGATTTATCTAACATTTTGGGGGTAAAGTGCTACAAAAGCATGATCACTGTGCACTGCACAAGTATACCATTTTACCACACACAAGTGCTGTATGTACCTATCGTGATATTTCCGACTACGCGTGTTTATAGGTTTTAACAATCGTAGTTCTTGATGCGGCATGTCACCACTCATTGTATCCAGTGATGTTTATAATACACCTTCGTGACTGGTACTGCTTAATAGACAGCACAATTCTCACCGATGTCATAATGCATCATAACATCTAGATACGAGCATAAATTGCATTACAACATGTTGATATCAAGAGCGTATTAAGAAGGTATTTACCGTCTTAATACGCTCTTGTTGATATCCTACAACACACGATGAATTTACCACACGACGTATACAGTTATCGACACTGCAACACTGCATATCGCTCAGCTGTTTGTGTGTGCCTGTGTGTGGGCGCGTGTGTGCGTATAGGTGAACGCGCACGTGCGTCTGTACGTGCGTGTGAGCGCGCGAGGGTGTGTCTATGCGAGGGTGTGAGCATGTGTACGTGCGTGTGAGCGTGAGTACGTGCGTGTTCGTGCGCGTGGGTGCGTCTGCGCATGCGTGAGCGTGTGTACGTGCGTGTGTGCGCGTGTGTGAGCGTGAGTACGTGCGTGTTCGTGCGCGTGAGCGTGTGTACGTGCGTGTGTGCGCGCGTGGGAGCGTGTGTACGTGCGCGTGTGCGCGCGTGTGAGCGTGTGTACGTGCGTGTGTGCGCGCGTGGGAGCGTGTGTACGTGCGCGTGTGCGCGCGTGTGAGCGTGTGTACGTGCGTGTGTGCGCGCGTGGGAGCGTGTGTACGTGCGCGTGTGCGCGCGTGTGAGCGTGTGTACGTGCGTGGTGCGCGCGCGTATTGGTCCGAAATGTGAGCGTGTGTACGTGCGTGTACATACATATATAGCTGCGCACGATGAATTATTCAGACAGCGAAAATGCCGATTGAGAGTCTCTCGCGCGCAGAGTGAAATCGCCCAAGTTCTACTGTCCGTAAATAATTCATCCTGCGCGCGCCTTTCTCTCTGGCCGCCGACGCATGTCGACGCATGCCGTGCCACCGTCGCCGCCGCCGTCGCATGCTAGCCCCGCATGCCCCGAGTGCAAAAGTGACCCGAGTTACTGCCAAGGTGACGAGCGGCTGGCTTCACTCTAAACACAACGTGCCTCTAGAGCTTCACGAACACAACTTACTGCATCGCACTCGGCTAATCACATAGGCAAAGCTAAACCCACCGTTGTACATAATTATACGGAGCTGCCACGACAGCCGCCGTGAGCGACGGCGTCAATTGCACGCGGACCGCTCGGCATACAGAGGTCATTATGCACGTAAGCGCGCTTAAGTGCCCAACACCAGATCAGATCGCACTTAAACAGCTGGGTCACGATGCTGCGGAATCCACCGGAGGCTTCGCTCGCTGCCGACCGGCAGGGCTAGACGCGTCACATCCGATTCCACGGAGATGTCGGAAGAATCGGCTCCGGAAATAATTACTGAAATCGACGTCGCAGTACAAACACAGCATGGCGCTCGAGTAAAACAAGCGCTGTGTTATCGTGGCGCTCTTCTATTAAACCGTGCTTGAATCTCGCGAAATTGTGTGCGTAGGGCGATAGGCACCGGACGCTGTCGCTGCGAGCACGCACACAGTGCACGCGCACGCGGAATCCGTGAATCCCCGACACACACACACACGCGTGGCTTCTTCTTCTTTTCCCTCCTCCTCCTCTCCCTCCTCTCATCATCCTCTCTTCCCCTCCTCCTCCTCTCCTCCTCCTCCTCATATCATCATCATCATATCATTCTTTTTCTACATCCTCTTCTCATCCTCATCCTCTTCTTCCTCCTTCCCATCGCGAGATACAGTTCGCTGATAGTAATGAGCGTGACCCGCACGCACACTCACAGACGCACGTACGCACACGCACGCTGACACACACACGCGACACACACACACACGCACACGCACGCACACGCACGCACGCACACGCACGCACGCACAGGTAAAGACCCAATCCGTCGCTGCGTGCACGGCTCGAGCTGGCTGGCTACCTCTTCATTCGCTTGTCGGCGAGCTGTGCATTCTCCGTACTGCGCGTGACCTACCCGTCGTCTATAGAAGAACAGTATAAACTACGACTCCGTTATCGCACTAAAGACGCGCGTGTATTGACAAATGACACCATTTACGCACATCGCTGTCGAGCTGTTAGGCCGGTAATGTAACTAATGTTTTCATCAGGCGCCAGCAATGCTCCACGGGTGGTGAAGGAGGAAGGCGTAGATGCAGTCGAGACATGAAGCTGCCAGATAGTACTAATGATATTAATGCCGTTTGCTTCACAGGCACTTGGAACGTCTCAGTAAAAAAAAGGCAAATATACACGAAATGTATTTACTGCCTAAGTCTTAATGTTTCTCTACTTCTTCGCCTATTATTGCCGATAACTTGCTGTAAATGCCGTTCAAATGCTCCTCTACAACACACAAGTACACCGCACGCACGCCCTGTGCACAAACAACAAGAATAATAGAGAATAAAAAAATAAAATAAAATATAATCTATTATTCTTGTTGTTTGTGCAAAGGGCGTGCGTGCGGTGTACTTGTGTGTTGTAGAGGAGCTTGAACGGCATTACAGCAAGTTATCGGCAATAATAGGCAAAGAGAGTAGAAAAACATTAGACTTTGGTAGTAAATACATTTCGTGTTATTTGCCTTTTTTATTGAGACGTCAACGCTGTGGTTCGCTTCGCGTTACAAGGAAGTCACGGGTACTGGTTGTTATACGTAGCGCCTGTTGTTGCTGACATGCTAGCGCTGCCCGCTGAGGCAGGGTTGAGCGATTATAGTGAGGCGCATTCAGTATTTCACCATCTCCACTGCAACTCTGTTCTCTCTTTCTTTCTTTCTCTCTCTCTCTCTCTCTCTCTCTCTCTTTCTCTCTCTCTCATCGTCTATCCTGTTGCCTCTTCTCTCATTCTCTAATAATTTCGCACACTGTCGATTCTGCGCCTGTCATCTCATTCTGCTTTATTCGGATTTCACCAATCTCTTCACACACTATTTTCTCCCTTTCTTTCGTTGCTACTCTTCGATTTTACCCATCAGACATTCCACTATCACTCACATCTTCTTCCCCATCCTTCTCACACCCTTCTATTTTCCATCCCTTCGCACAAATCCTCTGTTTTCTATCTATTCTCTCAATCACGCCTCTTTTCGCTATGCCTTCTTGGTCCTCGCTCAAAATAATTGAATCAAGAAGCCAATAGCTCACACGATTTAATCACATATATCATATATGTGTGTGTGTGTGTGTGTGTGTGTGTGTGTGTGTGTGTGTGTGTGTGTGTGTGTGTGTGTGTGTGTGTGTGTGTGTGTGTGTGTGTGTATGTTTATATATATAATATCAGGAGATAATATTACATATAGAGATGTGCAATCTCGTATGACCCAGGCACAACAGGAGCTAATTTTATGAAGCCATGCTGATGTAATAAGAGAGGAAGGGGAGGGACCGTTGGCTTCATACAGCAGGGCAGAATTCCCCCCCCCTTGTTGCTTTAATGCGAATATAGAGAATTGATTAACTAGCCGAGCAAAAGTGCATATACGGCGTGTATAAGCGTATTACAGTCCAATTCGTCACTTGTCATCCCATCGCTTAGTGTGTTTACTTATTTTAAATTTTAAATCAGTAGTCGATGTGTTTACAATGTGTCTACAGTGCCTTCACGGCATAAGTTTTAAGATGTGTGCACAGCACAGATTTATGCACCGACATAATGCATGTCGCAAGTTAAGCATGTTTAAGTACTCGCACGTCATGGACGTAATTAAAGGGATATAATCTGATATTAAGGTGCTCTTACATGGTTCGTACAGGACTGAAATTTTTTCCAAGGACTTTTCAAGGACATTTTATCGGAAATTCAAGGACATTTTATCGGAAATTCAAGGACATTTTATCGGAAATTCAAGGACATTTTATCAGACATTTTATCGGAATTCATACACAGAACAAAACATACCTGGATTAATTTAATAACCCCATTCTTAATCACTGCATGTCTGTCACCTCTAAAACTTACCTGGATCACATTAATAAACCCTTCTAAACACTGTCACTTCTACAACATACCTTGATTTACTGACTGATTTTACTGACTTACTGTAATTTATGATCATCATTTAACTGTCTATCGTGTCTATAGCTTTTTAAGCTCATTTAACGCAATTTTTCTTGAGGTTTGCACATTATTGATGGTACAAAATTTCTTTTTATTACAGGCAAGGATTCTTTCTAAAAATTCAAAGACATTTTCATGAAATTCAAGAACATTTTCATGAAATTCAAGAACATTTTCATGAAATTCAAGCATTTTTCAAGCACAAAATCAACATTTACTAAATTCAAGTACCTTTCAAGGACTCCCCTCAAATTCAAGGACGTTTCAAGAACTGAGCGAAGCATGTCTTATGCACTCTCAGTTTGGCACAGAACCCCGCCCACCGGGGATTTACAGGGCCAGCTTACAGCGCATGTTGATATACACAGCAACACTTTGCTGACAAACACAAATATATGGTTTATGCACGTATGATCCAGTGGTACCCCTCACCTGCAGCACCCGTAAATGGGCTAACGCTCCATTAGGACCACAAACTAATATATAACTATGACCATATATACATATATATATATTATTATGTTATTATGACCATTAATGACATTAAAGTTGGGCACACTCCTAATGGAGTATCACCCCGTAAATGTCAGACTGCGAGTGATTGAGAGCACGGAAACGCCAGATGCGCGTTAACACTGCTTCACTGTCCTCGTCGTGCGAACATAGTAGCTGCATTACATGCGACCACCAACCACCTGGACATTGCCTATGATTACGACTACGTATACATTGGCAGTTTCGCGCCACCAACACAGCTGCGCGTGATGGTTTCGCGCGTTTTCTACAAAGTACCTTGTAAATCAAGATGTGACAATAGCGGATGAATATAGTGTACTGTTTTGATGGTAATCTTGTAACATTTATACTCCGTACACGGTAGTTAGTGTTCACTTTCTCTGGATAATACGTTCACAGCGCGTACACCTCGTTTTTAAACTGCGACACTACATTATAATCAAGAGCTAACAATACACGTTTTATTAGCTCCTGTTATAATGGATGAGAACAAACCCGATGAGGAGACAACGGTAGAAGGGAAGGGGGTACAACTTTACTTGGTTGCCGACTGCTGGGCGCCCCAACAGCTTTCCAGCAAATATGTTACACGACTACGTACGGACATCTGTAAAAAGCAACTATTTACTGACTCAGTATGGATATAAATATCCCGCTGAAGTAACAAGCTACGAACTCATGTAGCAGAAATATTCATATTATTCATTCACCACACGAACCAGTGAAAAGGAACCTCTGGTGCATGTAACGAGACCGAGTAACAAAATTCCACTATTGTAAGCACTAGTCATCACCCCTACGTGGCGTTGTATCACTATACTACTTTTAACAAACAAGTTTCGTCGCGTACATGCCTGGGGATTCCATTCATACGACATCAATTTCACGAATCTGTATTTTTAGATACGCGCATTAACTTCGAACGCTAAGAACAAGGCGCGCTTGCACATGTTTTTAACCGTTCAAGGTACATAAAACCCGGATGAAAGGTCAGCTGGAAATCATTGATCCAGTAACTCAAACCCTTCGGCAAAATCTTTAACATTCTGGCCGAATATAATACGGGAAATGTTGAGTGAGCAGCACACTATAAGCCAGCGAGTTCCACCAATTTCGCACGGAAACGAGTTTTAGTTTTGTTATCCTCTCTCCGTTTTTTTGGTTTTGTTTTCTTTGAGCCTTATTATCCGCTACTCTTGCCGAGGTCGCGCAGTATAGCACAACTACCCACGCATATCGTGACGAGGCAATCACTGGCATTAAAAAACTCGCAACGAGTGCAACATCCTTAAAGAAACTCCCATTTGTAAAAGGGCTTCCCGTGCGCGGTTGTCAATCACACCGTGGCATGCGGGTACTGCGTAATCCGAATGCAAATTGAATAAATTGCTTTCCAAGAAAAGGGATTAGGACTACTTACACGATTAGGGTAATTCAATACAGGCGCGTAAATTTATTACCATGGTAGGGTCGCGACTTATTTGACTACACCATAGCTAAAATATGGTCATATGCCCCACCACACATACATAAGAATACATACACATTACATCAGGAGTGCACCACTGATTACATACATACACGTATTACATTACTTGCTACCATCAGTGCTGCCACTCATATATAAAATGGTGCAATTTGGTGCATTCTAAGCTATTCTGGACACATTGTATGAGGCTCTTGAATCTCTTTTTCAAGTTGTCAAAAGTTACGTCAGCGAGGCGGTGTTTTGGATAAATTTCTGTGTGGCGGCTGAGAATTTGAGCGGGGCGGCCCGCCTCGCTCGTGTCAATACAGGGGAAACACTGCAATGCTCTGCCATTTGGTCACTGACAGCAGAGAGCTGAGAGCAAAAACATTCCACTGAACAGAGCACACATCACTCCTACAACAAGACTAGCAAAGCACAACTTTAATCTCATCAAATACAGTGTACCTAAATGTAAGTCCGAAGAGTTTTGACCATCTTTGGCAAAAAAAAGTATTTAAAAGTATTTATGCATGAAAAAAGTATGAAAAAAGTATAAAAAGTACATTTTCTTAAAAAAAAGTATAAAGTGGCAGCACTGTGACATATTATATACACACATACATTACATTTCATACTCACGTTACATACACATGCATTGCATACTTGCAAAGCCAAGGTAGCTCCTTGCTTTAACTGCCACTGGGACGTGACCAATTTCCACTCTCAAAACTGACCGCTTGTTCACACTTTATTGACAGTGTCATTATTTACATAATTATGCAAGCGAAGTTAGTGAACTATGCCCAATACGCCACCACAACGAATCTATGCAGTACACACTCTACCTTTATCTCCATGTTTTTGTACATATACACAACACTACCGTGTTATTATATATGTTACATAATACTTGCATGCATCGGTTCATGCCAGCATTCACTTGCTTAACTCTCGTTGTACTGTCATTCACCCGCATTGTGCATACTGCGAGGACATTTTATCAGGCTTGCGTGCTCGTAGCGTGTACATACCTGATAGTCTTGCCTCTGATTTCCGACATGATGGCGCCCTCCCCGCCTAGGTATTCATAGCACAGGCTCAGAAAGTTGTAGATTACAAATGCTGAAAGGAAACGTAGGTCATCAGAATAAGGGTCCGAGTTGGACTCGCCAATATAAGAATTCTAGATAATTTTAATCAAAAAAGTAAGTAAATTCCATCGAACAGATTCCGATAAACTGTTTTGTTAACCTTTTACAAGGACAGCAACACTGAGAAATATGTGAGGGATCACCATGAGCAAGGGATCGTTGTGAGCGATGGATCGTTGTGAGCGAGAGATCGGTGTGAGTGAGGAATCTGTGTGAGTGAAGGATCTGTGAGAGCAAAGGATCGCCGTGAGCGAGGGATCGGTGTGAGCGAGAGATCAGATTCAGTGCGAGCAAGGGATCGCAGTGAGCAAGCGATCATTGTGAGCAATGGATCGGTGTGAGCGAGGGATCGGTGTGAGCGAGAGATCAGATTCAGTGCGAGCAAGGGATCGCAGTGAGCAAGCGATCATTGTGAGCAATGGATCGGTGTGAGCGAGGGATCGGTGTGAGCAAGGAATCGTTGTGAGCGAGGGATCGCTGTGAGTGAGGGATCAGTGCGAGCGAGGGATCGTTGTGAGCTAGGGATCGCCGTAAGCGAGAGATCGGTGTGAGCGAGGATCGGTGTGAGCGAGGGATCTGTGTGAGCAAGGGATCAGTGTGAGCGAGGGATCGGTGTGAGCGAGGGATCGATGTGAGCAAGAAATCGTTGTGAGCGAGGGATCAGTGTAAGCGTGGGATAATCAGTGTGCAAGTGATTGCTGCAAACGTGTACCTACCTTCGTAGCAGTCGCGCACGGTGTCAAAGTAAACGTAGTAGCTATCGTTGTTGAAGAAGAGCAGGCTGAGCCAGGAGTCAAACGAGTAGATAGGCACAATGAAGAGGATGCGTACGATCCAGCGTTGCTCGCTCGGGTTGGTGTAGTAGCGCAGGTGCTGGTAGATCTGCAACGAGAAACCATGAGCGTGAGAAGTCAGGAGGTGATACTGCGTCGCCACCGTGCCATTCCCACTTTCGTTCAACCCACTTCTAGTTCCTACTGGAATAATTGTGGTTCAACAGAGTGAATCTAGGTAGCTCCTAGTTTTGTTCCAGGGACTTATAGCACCTTCAGACAAATTTATGGTTTGGCTGTAGTGAAGGTAGCTCCTAGCTTTGATGAACTCACTTATAGCTCCTATTTGTACTTAACTAACTGTGGTTTGGCTCACAGCACCTGGAGCGAATCTACTGAGCTGTTGAGCTGTAAATCTGGAGACAGGAGCCAATATTGGTGGCTGGTGAACTTGTCCAAAACACGCGTGCACGCGTTTTCGTGCACACGACGATTGACTAGGGGTGCAATGATAATACACCAGGACACCGGTGTATCACGATAGACAGGCAACGATATGCGATACATTTAAGTCTGTATCATGATACAAACAGTACAGTGGCTTTTTACTCACTAAAAAGGGAAAATCAGGTGTTAGTTTACAGTTTACCTACTTACTCACTTGAACAATAATCTAATAGGCTATAGGATCGTCATTCAGCATCATGTACTACATTACACATTCACTTTTGTTTCCACCGCTTAGCACTTTTCAATTGCAGATAATCACTAAACTGATACTATAGCTGAGAGGTTCTATGTCCCCCAGGGTACTGCCAGAACGTACCCTGGGTACGGTCCGGTATACCGGAACGTAACCTGGTACTATCTAATATGCCAGACTGTACCTCGCCTACTCCATAACCCTAACCCTAACCATATCAGATACCAGGGTGTGTTCCGGTATACCGGACCGTACCCAGGGTACGTTCCAGCAGTACCCTGGGAGACATAGACCCTATGAGCGATACTATAGATGACTGATACATCTGTATGTGCATGCAGCAATGGCTAGCCAGTAACAACCGACTATGCATCATAGCACCGTTTGTGGTCTCGTTGAGACAGCTAGGTGTATCGTAGTATGTAATTGTATCATGTCGTGGCCTAGCACATTGTTGCAGCACTCCAACCAACTGCCATAGCGTGATGCCTTGGGTGTGTCACGTGTCTCAGCGTCTGCCGCGTGGCGTGCTTCCATCTTGATTTGTGATGCGGTGCCATGCACGCCTCTCGTTTTTCGTGACAATTGTCTCGATATAGTGGATTGCTCCCCGAGTCGAGACTGTAATGTGTCGCCCCCTATCATGGTGTCACTAGGTGGCAGGGGATTGCATTGTTCTGCATTGCATATTGCGGCAGTAAAGTTGTCAGTTAAACTGAAACGCTGTGTTGTTTAGTTACTTCCTACGCAACAAGGAGAAACCCACAACATTACATGGTGTCAGTAAGTAGCTGAGGGATGAACCTTCGCTCTACGAGAGATAAGAGTGATGACAATTCGTATTTCTGACACTTTGCTGTGTTGACTGTACCATGCATGAGACATGAAACAAGAGCGTTCCGTTGAGACGTTTAGTGTTGTACAGCGCACGCCGATACCAGCACACGAGTGTGATATAAACTGTAGCAATGGTGCAAGTAGTCAAGTATACGCCGCCCGTGTGTGATTTACGTGACTGTGTACCCTATTGTCGCACATAACTTGAAGTCGTTTAGGAACTGATGTTGATTTGACATTACTGCTGACAGTTATTGTCTATATAACCTCACATCATGAGTGATCATGAGGGAGAGGAACTAGCGCCACCAGTTCCAGTATCACAGGTGATACATGTGCCATATCCAACATTCCATTTCCTACAAAGTTGGATATGAGGGGAAACGTGGCAACAAATTGGAAACGATTGAAAAGAGTTTGGGACAATTATGAGATAGCAAGTGGCATAGCTGGTAAGGACACAAAGTTGCGTTCAGCGACATTTCTCACATGCATAGATCCTGATGCACTTGATGTCTACGAAGGTCTTCAGTTTGAAGATGAAGACACCAAGATGCAAATTGACAAAATTATTGAGAAATTCAATGATTTCTGCATTGGAGAGACCAATGAGATTTATGATTGTTACTGCTTCAATAGGCGTGACCAGGAATTCGGTGAAAACGTCGAATCGTACGTTGCTGCACTGAGAACACTAGCAAAAACTTGCAATTATGGCCAGCTGGAAGACAATCTTATCCGTGACCAACTGGTAATTGGGATCAGAGACAATTCCACCAGAAAGAAGCTGTTGCAACTCCCGAAACTGACACTTAAACAGAGTGTTGAGTCTGTTGACATTTGCAAGGCGAATGAACAGACGACTCATCAGATGAGAACCATGCAAGAGGAGGTGCAAGCAATCCACAAGAAACCTGCAGCTAGGAAATCTAGTGTATGGCAGAAGCCAGGTCCTAGCAACACGACAGCTGCACAAGCAAACATACATCCCAGGTGGACATGTAGTTCTTGTGGCTGCTCTCACCCTAAGAAAAATGAATTGTGTCCTGCTTTCGGGAAAGTGTGTCATAAGTGTGGGTTCAAAGATCATTTTGCACAGAAATGCGAGGCTCAGTAAGTTATACCAAATAATAGATCTAGAAGGAATCCCCAGGAGAGAAAGGCAAGCTTACGTGCAGTAGCGGAGGCAAGCTCAAGTGAGGAAGAGTACATACTCTCTGTTCAGGATCCAGAGACTGAACATGAGTATACATATACCACAGATGAGACATTCCCTAAGCAGTTGCACGCCATACTCTTGTGCGAGGGACAAGACATAGAATTCCAACTTGATTGTGGTTCTACAGTGAATGTATTGCCAGAGATGGTGTACACTATAGTGTACAAAGACCCGGACCTCCGGCAAATGACGGGCACAAACCTAACTTTCGTGATGTATAACAAAACCGAAACACGTCCTTTAGGTAAAAGGAGAGTGTCTGTAAGGAACCCCAAAGATCGCAAAAAGTACAACATAGAAGTAGTTGTCGTTGCTGGAGATACAAAAGCCATATTAGGTGTAAGAGCTGTACAGGCTATAGGCCTCATTCAAGTCAACAGGGATTTGATCACGACCAGACGAGAAGTTGAGGACAGCTCCACTTTGATTGTAGAAATTGGATTGACACCCATTTCTCAGGTCACTCCAGAGATGTCCAGTGAGGAAATTGTTTCAGAATACCCTGATACATTCACAGAAGGCAAGCTAGATGGTAAGCTGCACTTAGAAGTTGATCCTAGTGTGCTCCCAGTGAAGTTGCATACACGCAAGATCCCAGTGGCAATGAGAGGAAAACTCAAGACCGAGCTTGATAGGCTTCAGAAGTGAGACATACTCACTCCAGTGGACACACCAACCGACTGGATATCAGCCATGGTTGTGGTGCTGAAATCCAGTGGTAAAGTCAGGCTGTGTATAGATCCGAAGCCATTGAATAAGGCATTGAAGCGCAACCACTACCAAACACCAACGATCGAGGACATTCTTCCAGAGTTGTCCGGAGCACGTGTGTTCTCAGTAGTCGACACAAAGAATTGGTTTTGGCACATTGATTTGGACACTGAGAGCAGTTACCTCACCACATTTGCTACCCCATGGGGCAGATATCGTTGAAAGTGGTTGGCTTTCGGGTTATCTCCTTCACCTGAAGAGTTCCAGATGCGCATAGACGAGGCTCTTGCAGGTCTGGATGGAGTAAAAGCGATACATGATGACATCCTGATCTATGGTATTGGTGACAACGACAAGGATGCCAAAGCAGATCATGATCGGAAGTTGAGAGCATTGTTTCAGAGATGTCGAGAGAAGAACATTTGGTTGAACAAAGACAAGCTGAAGCTCCGTATGAAAGAAGTATCCTACATGGGACATGTAATCTCATCAGAAGGGTTGAGGATTGACCCTGAGAAGGTGACAGCAGTGATGGAAATGCCTACCCCCAAAGACAAACAGGGAGTACAATGACTCCTAGGGATGGTGAACTATGTGCAGAAGTTCACACCACGACTTTCAGAGGTGACAGCACCCTTGAGAAATATGCTGAAAGAGCAAACCCAAAGAGCTGAAGCAGTTCTGTTGGGATGAGCAGGTTCACGGTGAAGCACTCAAGGATTTGAAGAAGATCCTGTCAGAGTCTCCAGTTCTCAAGTACTTTGATCCTGCCAAGGAAACAACACTTTAGTGTGATGCAAGTGAAGCGGGACTTGGCACATGTATATTGCAAGAGGGTCACCCCATAGCATATGCTTCACGTTCACTCACTCAGACAGAAATGCACTATGCTCAAATAGTGAAGGAGCTACTAGCTGTTCTGTTTGGCATGGAGAGGTTTGAGAACTATACCTATGGAAGAATGGTGACAGTAGAGTCAGATCACAAGCCTCTTGAAGAAATCTGCAAGAAGAGTCTGTTGAGTGTCCTGAAGAGACTTCAGAGGATGCTTTTGAGGTTGCAAAGGTTCAACTTTGAAGTCATTTGCAAGAAGGGAACTGAAATTTATGTAGCAGATACGCTCAGCAGAGCCTACCTACCTTGCATAATATGAGAGAAGAAGAAAGGAGAAGTGTTTGAGATTGATTTCAGATCCCCAGCAGAAAAGGAGACAGTACATTGCCATCTCAGAAGAGAGACTACAACGAATTCAGCAAACAACACAGAAGAATACAGATCTGAACACACTCAAAGCTGTGATTCAGTCTGGATGGCCTGAGGTACGAGCGCAAGTTCCTCCAGAGGTCGAGACATTCTTCCCATTACGTGATGAATTATCGGTGCAGAATGGACTGATTCTGAAGTATCAGAGGAGATATTTTGGACAGACTACATTCGAGCCATATCGGAGTACAACGTTGCCTGAGAAGGGCTAGATAATGTGTCTACTGGCCCAACATGAACCGTGACATTGAACAGTTCATAGGCAAGTGTGACATCTGCAATCAGTTCCAGGCTGCTCAGCAGAAGGTACCCATGATTAGCCATGACATACCATCGAGACCATGGGAGAGTCGGATGTGATCTATTCGAGTTGAATGGATGAAACTACATGATTACTGTAGACTATTACTCTGACTTCTTCGAAGTGGACAGGTTGAGTGACAAGACTGCCAAGGAGGTAGTGAGCAAGTTGAAAGCAATTGTTGCAAGACATGGTATTCCAGACACGTTTGTCTCGAACAATGGACCCCCATATAGTAGCAAGGAGTTCAGAAACTTCATGCAGAAGTACGAGATAGAGCATGTTACCAGTTCACCTGGTTACCCTCAGTCTAATGGCAAGGCTGAGAATGCTGTGAAAACAGCCAAATGGTTGATGACCAAAGCTTTGCATGATGAGAGTGATCCATACGTAGCGGTGCTTGACTGGAGAAATACGCCGACCAAGAATATGGATTGTTCTCCAGTACAGAGATTGTTTGGTCGGAGGACTAAAACACTTCTACCAACAACAAACAAGCTCCTGAAACCCAGGGTTGTAGAGGGTGTGAAGAATTCTCTTTTGCGAAGGAAAGAGGAGACGAAGTTCTACAATCATGGTAGTAAGGAATTTGGCAAGCTCACAGGTGGTGAAAAGCATTTCGTCGTGACAAGAAATGGGTTAAAGCATGTGTCGAAGGTCAAGTTGATATAGTGACTATATATTTAAGTGTCAGTGTGCAGCAGGAGCAATGGCGGCCGCCAGTGTTTGCTGCACATGAGCATTCGGACGGCATTTACAGGAAATTGTCCGCAATAATAGGTGAAAGAGAGTATAGAAACATTAAGACTTTGGTAGTAAATAGATTTCGTATTTATTTAGCATTAGATTTTATTGAAACGCTCCAAGTGCCTGTGAGCTAACCCAGCCCTTGGGATTCATCAATGAAAGTGTGCACGTATAAGACTGTCGGGCAACGCTGTACACAACAGATGGAGCAAGGTCTTAATCCGCAGCTGCCGTTGTGTCGGCTGCATCGGACAAAAATCAGCGCAAAGAATCGCACCACTGCATTTACATTTCAATGAAATGAATTAGAACAACTTATACACTACTTCAGTGCCAGGTTGCAAATTCTGCATCATCGGCAGCACTACTTCAACTAATGGACTGTCAATTGCGTTATTCTGCTGTGTTCATACATGCACACAGCGGTGACGGTTGCGTAGGCTGGCCGGCAGACTTATTAGCATATTTCCCATGTGCCCTATTTCATAGCTGTTTCCTAGTGATTTACGCCACTGTAAAGTTATGAAATAATAACTGGACTCTGAAACTGAACGTATGCATATACATATATATATATATATATATACTATATATATGGTTTGCATTCCATAGAGCTTGCAAACAACACGCGTGCACACACACGCGCGCCCACACACACATACACGCACACACGAATGCACGTTACACGTCCACACACACACACGCGCGCACACACACACATACACGCAAAGACGAATGCAATTACACATGCACGTTACACGTCCACACACACGCGCGCACACATGTATACAGTCATACACGCACACACGAATGCACTTACACATGCACGTTACACGTCCACACACACGCGCGCACACATGTATACAGTCATACACGCACACACGAATGCACTTACACATGCACGTTACACGTCCACACACACGTGCGCACACACATACACGCACACACGAAAGCACTTACACATGCACGTTACACGTGCACACACCCGCGCGCACATGTATATATGTACACGTACACAGGGGTACCGTGGCGTTCGACACCTTCGCAAAATGCGATCAATAAATAACAATGGCGATTTTACTACATTATAAGTGGCGAATACAATTGGCAAACGATTTAACTGCTCACAAAATTACCATTGAATAATAAAGTGGTAAAACTGCAGTGTCGTGTAACTAACAATGTAGTAACTTAGTAATTGTACTAACTAATTCCGTAACCTAGTCATGTTATAAACTTACCTTTATATAAAACGACCTAGTTTTGTGTAGACTACAGTAAACTACATTGTTTTATTTTTACTTGACTTTTAAAATGTCTTCGTACACCTCTTTTCAAATACCCATAAGGCTAATAAGCCGCTATTTATGCCTTCCTTAGCACATATGATGAAGTGAACAGTGGCCATGGTTTTTCACTGGTGGCTATAAAATGACTTTGGTGGCTCAAGTCTCGGCTCAAACTCGCCCGCACGCTGTTAATTTACCATGTAATCCAATTAATCTATAGTATAGTATAGTATATAATATTATTACTATAAGTATACTATAGTATAGATTATATTGGATTACATGGTAAATTAACAGCGTGCGGGCGAGTGTATACGTGTACGTACGTACGTATTACACGCATTTTGACAGTGAGCGCATAGCTATCACGGCAGAGATGAACCCTGTTGCTATGGTGACAAAAGGAGATAATTCAAGGAAGACGCACTCCCGTGTAATTACCTGCTTCACACATGACGTACGGAGAGCATTGTCGAATCATAATTTACGTTTCACGCGAGCATAGATCTGTACCACCGCCAGGTTATACGCGCCGCCATCACTCACTACACGCCAACTGTTACAGCAGCTGAGCGGCAATATATCACTGATCAGACTAGAAAATTGTATAGAGAGACAGACCAATAATATCAGGGGTTAATAATAACAATAATAATAATGACAAATTATTGTCATTATTTGTCATTATTAACCCCTGGTCATATCAGCCAATAACACAGACACGCGAATGAGCGCATACGCGCGTACACACGAACGTACGCGGACATGTACACAAGAAGAAGGAGCGAGGGAGAGGAGATGGAGGAACAACGAGTGAGAAAGAGAGTGTGGAGAGCGGGAAAGGGGTGGAGGAGCATGAGAGAAGCTTATACAACAGCTCTTAATGCTCATAAACATGAAAGCTTTTTGCCCATTCGAAATTATCACACGTCGCAGCTATAAATGAATAGCCATTCCCAACCTAAGGAATTCTCACGAACCTAAGCTATAAATCTGTGACTGCTCCCTTACGTCACCTTAAACTTCATGGCATGAGGGTTTATTGAAATTTACACTTCATATCTGTAATGCTGCCAAAGGTCTAACAATGCGTAGCGTGTGCGTTAGCTATATAGAAACCTCACGTTTTGCTATGTTCGACATTTTTACCTCCGCCAAGGAGGTAATGTAATCGGTCTCATGTGTGTGTTCGTGTGTGCGTTCGTGTGTGTGTTCGTGTGTGTGTGTAGCCACTAGTGTTCGCGCGATCGATTCAGCAGCAGCTCGCCTTCGTGTGTGTGTGTAGCCACTAGTGTTCGCGCGATCGATTCAGCAGCAGCTCACCTTAGGGCATCGAGTCAGCAGCAGCTCGCCTTAGGGCATCCAGTCAGCAGCAGCCAGCAGCGAGCCAGCTGTTATACACATACATGTTACATGCTGGTGGAGGTATGCACTCTCCGTGAGTGCCCTCTGTCTAGTTCGTTTTGTTTTCGACTTTCTTTTCACTAGACTGGAGGATAAGTATATCTACTGACTATGGTATCGTTGGGATGTGGTTCGACTAACTTGGCAACCGATGGACTACATCATGGACGTCATTCGAATGGGAAGTGTCTCATAACATCGGAGTGCTTTTATGTCACTACATAGTGACAATAATGTGAATGAATGAAATGAATATGAACTAGACAGAGGGCACTCAAAGAGAGTGCATACCTCCGCGAGCGTGTAACATGTATACATGTGTATAACAGCTGGCTCGCTGCTGGCTGCTGCTGACTGGACGCCCTAAGGCGAGCTGCTGCTGACTGGACGCCCTAAGGCGAGCTGGTGCTGAATCGATTGATCAGTTGAGCGTGTGTATAACAGCTGGTTCGCTGCTGGCTACACACACACACGAACACACACACGCGAGCGATTGCATGACCTCCGTTTGCAACGCGGAGGTAATAATTTAACAGACCATTCGGTCATCAACCAATCAAGCAACTACTGTAAACGCGCAGTAATGCACGAGCTAAACCCTCGCGGATCTATATTTTAAATTCGCTGTTTACACAACGTTTCATCTGATCCATAAAAAATTTCCACGCAGTCTATTATTATCAAGAGTACATAATAGAGATAATTGTTATTATCTACCTTATAGATCATCGCGAGGAAATCGAAACCCCGCCTGCGCTTGGCGGTATGTTATGTACTGGCACGTAACAAAAAAACGATCCGCATCGCAGGAAGCTCTGCCCAAACGCAGACCGCTGTTTGTAGACATTGGCAGCAAGAACAAGTCGGCACCTGCAGCTACAGCACACACGCGGCCATTGACTATATATAACATCGAGGATATAGAGGAGTATAGAGGATATAGAGATATAGGGATAGGGATATAGGGATAGAGGGATCTAGATATAGGGATAGGGATAGAGGGATCTAGATATAAATATAGGGGATTAGATATAGGGATAGGGATAGGGGATAGCTATAGGGGATATAGATATAGGGGTAGGGATATAGAGGAGGATACTATCTATATAATATAGAGGATGTTATATATAGTCAATGGCCGCGTGTGTGCTGTAGCTGCAAGTGCCGACTTCTTTTTGCTGCCAGTGTTTGTAGAGAGAGAGAGAGAGAGAGAGACGCACGGGAGAAAGAGAAGAGAGAGAGAGAGAGAGAGAGAGAGAGAGACAGAGAGAGAGAGAGGCGAGAAAGAGAAGAGAGAGAGAGAGAGAGACGAGAGAGAGAGCGAGAGAGAGAGAGAGATAGAGGAGAGAAAGAGAGAGAGAGAGAGAGAGAGAGAAAACATGCTCGTCGCGGGGTCTAGTTCCAGCCGATTGTGCCTCGCTCCAACGGCAACCACTTTCCTACCCACCCACACACACACGTATCAGTTTCAATTCACTCACACCCACTGCGATGCTGTCTATCCCCCACACCCACTGCTAGGCAGCCCACCCCCAACCCCTGCTATCCTTCCCACGCCCACTGTGAGACTGTCCCATCCCTCCACCCTGCCAAAATATTCTGTTCCCACACCCACTGCTTGATTACCCTTCCCACTCACTACTCCCCCTGCTAGAATATTCATACCAAACACACTGCTAGACTATTCTGTCCCCACACACACTGCTACACTATTCATCCCTCCACCCACTGCTAGGTTATATTCTGTCAACACACACGCACGCACGCACGCAAACTGCTAGATAATCCATCCCCACCTACTGCTAGACTATTCTTCCTCCCACCTACTGCTAGACTACCCTTTTCACCACCGCAGGACTACTCATCCCCTTAGCCTACACCGTTACTATCCCATCCCCACTGCAGCACTACTCTAGTAAAAGCTGCCCGAATGCAAATAAAAATGCCCATCGCACTTCGAAACACGCAACCGACGCACGATCCCCTTCGCTATCCGCAGTAAAATGCTCGCTGTACCCTGCCAACGCATACACCGCACACATACACACACATGCATACGCGCGCGCGCCTGTGATCCTGCCGAACACTGCCTTCTAGCTAGGAGCCAGCGCACACCGACCGACAGGCATCTGTAAACAGCACTTCGTAGTTAAGAACGATGCCGCATGTACGTATAATGAAGGCTCAGACTCAGAGCGGGCGCTCCTTGGAGTCTTTGCATTAGAGCTGCGACTTGTAGGCAGGCAAGCAAGCGAGCGCTCTCCCTCTCACTCACATCCATCCTCACCCACTCGCTCGCAGAACAAACGTATGTTCAGTGCCTAATTGGCAAACTATGTTTCCCAGAAGACAAGCGGCTAATTAGCGAGATTAGATGACGTAATCTAGACGGAAATGTGATTCACGCGCGTGCTAGTTATCATTGAGAGCCGTATTTCGCTGGCCCTCACCAACACCAGATCTGATCAGTTTTGCCCTGGTGACATTCCATTATGTCAACACATGACGATGCATCTTTTGCTAATTTGCAAACAGTTTTTATACTGTACTCTCATCCCATAACCCCTTCGCCACGAACAGTCTCTGTTCCCCAAATATGAATTCTGCCTAGCAGATACGGTGGGTGGGGTGGGGGGGAGGGTGCTGGCTCACACGTGAATGAATGAGGTATGATCAGCTAATGCCTTGCATAACAGCTGGCACTCGCACACGTGAAAATGAAAGCTACAGCAGCTGCTAGAATCAGAAGCATGTGCATGGCGCTGCTGTGGATGGCTACTGGTGGTGTCAGACGTGGGTGGTTGCTTCTGGTGTTGGTGTAAGCGGTTGCTTCTGGTATGCTTATATGGTGGTGGTGTGGATGGCGGCTGTGGGTGGTGGTGGGAATGCGGGCTGGTAGTGGTGTGGGCACTTGCTACTGGTGGTGGTGTGGGTGGGTGCTGGTGGTGGTGGTGTAGGTGGGTACTGGTGGCAGTGTTGGTGGTGGTGGAAATGTGGGCTGGTAGTGGTGTGGGCACTTACTACTGGTGGTGGTGGTGGTGTGGGTGAGTACTGGTGGCAGTGTGGGTGGGTGCTGGTGGTGGTGGTGGTGTGGGTAGGTGGGTGCTGGTGGCGGTGTGGGTGGGTACTGGTGGCAGTGTGGGTGCCCGGGCACGGTGGGTACTGGTGGTGGTGTGGGTGGGTGCTGGTGGTGGTGTGGGTGGGTGCTGGTGGTGGTGGTGGTGTGGGTGGGTACTAGTGGCAGTGTGGGTTGGTACTGGTGGTGGTGTGGGTGGGTGCTGGTGGTGGTGTTGGTGGGTACTGGTGGTGGTGGTGTGGGTGATTATTACTGGTGGTAGTGTGGGCAGTTGCTACTGGTGGTGGGGTGGGTGGGTGCTGGTGGTGGTGTGGGTGGGTGCTACTGGTGGTGGTGTGGGTGGGTGCTACTGGTGGTGGTGTGGGTAGGTGCTGGTGATGGTGTGGGTGGCTGATGATGATCGTATAATAATTCTATGTTGCATAGACATATATTTGAATAAAAATGCAATACACAATCAGGGGTAGAAATTAACTTTTGAACACTGGAGTCCAACGGGCACCCTACCCTCAAAAAGAGGGAGGCCGCAGCAAAATGAGGGAGTCTGCAGTCTGAGGTTCAAAATTAAAGATATTAACAATAACGCATGTGCTTCTTTTTAAGATTCATGCGGTTGCACGTCTGCCCAATTTTCTTTGGACATTAGCTGAAAAAATATGGTAATTATGGTATGGCACAATTTTCAGGGAGTCACACGAACTCCTGCATATGTCAAATCAGGGAGTATTTGACTCCGGACTCCCGTTAATTTCGCACCCTGCACAATGTAATACATACTCACATAATGGGATACATGTATGCGTAGAGAAGCTCTAACTTACCTGATGGCATGTTATGAAGAGAGCCAGCCATGTGAAGACACCAGCTATTCCCTGTGCTAATGCTGTCTGTAGAAATATAGGCTCTATCAAGTCTGTCACGTTAAACTCAGCTGGCTGTGTCGTGTCTTCATGGACCAGGCTGGCAGCACTACTTGAGACATCACCCACACTAGCATCAGATGTTGGGATGGCTATATCCATTTTAGTCCTATACTTGGAACCTGTCAATATCAATTGTTTAGTTAAAGGAGTCATTTACTTAGTTTGTTCAATCAAATTATTGTATTTATAGAATGGAACAAATAAATTCAGTGTAAAAATGTGCTTACCACACAGATTATACGTAATTAAACATGGATATATGTATAATAGTTTTGTGATACCATTTTAACATGTACATCAGTGACATTGCTTACATTGACTATCTTACTATAATTTGGCGAATGTTGTATGTATGTTAATGAAAGGTTCCGTCAGTTTGGATCCAAATAGCGCCAAATTTACAGAAGAGATCGATGAGTACACGGGACGGGTTCTAAACTATACTCGGTTGAAAACCGTTTGTTCGGTCTTAAAAAAGACAACAAAACACAAAAAGGTAAACATTTGCCTGAAAATAGGGGGCGCTGTTTTGTTTTCGTTCTGTTTGTATTTCGTTTTGTTTCAACAGGTTTCAATTTCGTGTTGTTCTGTTCTGTGTGTGTGTGTGTCTGAGATTTGTGTAAGCCCCATAATGTAAGTAGAAATAACCATGTAATAATGAAGTTAAATATGTCAGTAGCTATTAGGCCATAGGTTTCCATATGAGATGTACAAGTTGAATTCATCAGTGCAGATTTTTTTGGAAGTCTGCATGCTGTACAGTGTAGCGGGTGCCGTGGACACCATCTGTCACAAGCGGTCCGATCACAAGCACGTAATATTACGTCGTCCGCACAGAGTGCAACAATGCGTAGAAATAAGCGATCACAACACGCCAATATTACCTGTCCGCACACAGTGGAAACATGCGAAGCACGTAATATTACGTTTACGTTATACCCATTCACAATCTATCTATATTCTAACTTTGGAGTCCGTATCATCAACAGTACATAGCATACAATAAAACGTTTGTGTGTGGGTGTGTGTATTTCACTGTGTACTTGCCAAACAAATGGTTAATGTGTTAGCGTGTAAGCATGATTGTACATGTATTTGTATTGAACTTCTCAACATAAAAAACAAACATGTGCAACAACCTAACTTCCATATAACACTTACACATAACAACTACTTGCACTGGTAACATGCATCACAGTCACTAAGCCCGCGCGTAGCGCGGGTTCAGCTAGTTTTCATAAAACAAGCGATTACAACCTTTGTACTTGTGACTTAAACATAGAATGCATGCATGCACGCACATCTGGGTGGCATGACATCTACAAAATCTTAGCTGCACAATGTCATGGTTTGATATCTTATTTCCTAGACCAGGGCACGAAATTCAGATTTTTTGGCCCCGGTCCAGAAAGCTGGTAACAGTAATTTATACCAGCCCTCACAAATTTGTTTGTAAAATCATGTCATGTTCACGCTTGCCATTCTCGATTTCAAATTTGTAAAATGTTTGATAAGTTATGGCGTGATATCCTTCAGATAAAACAATAAATAAATGTAGCCTATTTGCTATAAATAATGTAGGCAATAAATAAAAATGTAGGTACTTGCTAACACGGCTGAAACCACCGGCTCGGAGGGCCGGTGTTTTGCCAATGTTACCGGCCCTCCAAATAATTTGCCGACAAGAATATGTATGCAGCATGTATCTTGCATGTCGCTGAGCCTAGCATGCGTCTATGTTGTACCCAAACTTGGAATCTGCACAATCTCGAGATTGTGCAATGATTGTGCTACCCAAACTGCGGATTCCCTAGTTTGGCTGACCAATCTCAAGATTGGGCAAACTGAAAACAGTCGGTGATTCAAAAACCGCTCATAGCGAGTGTGTGGTGTGCGTGGTGCAAACTAGGAAGAAATTTATCTCATAATTATCCAATTATTTATTATAATCATTTAATATTTATACAAAGGTGCCAAACACATTGAGGAAAGAAGGTATACGACCTTATAATTATATAGTTATGATATAACATTTGAAATCCTAATAATCATATGTTTGTGCAAGCTCTGTTTACCTCTGTTTGCCCAATCTCAAGATTGGTTGCCCAAACTGTGGACGCGCTGAAATTCCAAGTTTGTGCAAGATTCCAAGTTTGGGCACAACATCTACAGGGTGCGAAATTAGCACCGGCCCATCGACATATGCAGAAAGAGTTAAGTAAGGGTTGGATTGAGTTCTGATTATCTGCACTTCTATTTTGGCAGCTAATTATTCTTTATCGTGTGCCTGGCTTCATGTTGTATGCAATCATACATTCATGTATAGCCTTGTAATGTAACCTAGCATGCATCCAGTCATCTAGGACTTAAGATGTCAACCACAACAGTATGTAACCGGTACTGTGGTAGCACTCTCACCAGCTCACTGATCAGGCGATTGACCCTTAAACAGTAACGCTAACATTAACAGTAACAATTTAGAGGTACTATCAAGAACCTCGTGAATTCACTGAATTCAGAATTGCACATGTGACATCGATAATGACTAAATGAGCCTGAGGGAAGAATTCTGAACTGCACAAAATAAAATAAACCAATTTGGACTTCTAACATACCACGGTTTACGTTCACGAAAGGTATTAAGCGCTAAAACACCTACACACACAAGTGCTATGGCGTAACCTACTGATAGTGATAGCACGACTCTCAGCGACAGCGATGAGATGCGGTTTCGTTGACGTGAGAAAATGCAATCACACTCACACACACGGACTCGACACTGCCACTGCCACTTGCACTGCCACTGGCACTGTCACTGGCGCTGGCTCACTGAATACAGACAATTGTTCTCAACAACAATTTATTTGAGGTTTATCTTGTAGCAAGCACCTCATCTCCGTCTACATAAATGTTCTCCTCGGAAAATATAAATCAAATCATCAATATAACGTTACAAAGTCAGGCCATCTGGTAACAAATTGCAAAAGGTAACAGCAAAAAATGTACACAAGCAAAATTCATCAGCGCCATCTCGCGTCTGAAACGAATAGCAAACTTCGATTTGCATCATCAACGTCTGCGTCACAACCAGTTAGGTGGTGATTTTAGGACATGTTCCGCCCAATATTATAATATTAGACGATATATGATTATATGATGCGTATATATGATCCATTCTGCCAAATGTTTTGTTACAGTGAGTATTGGAATAAATCATTTTCTACTTTCCATTCAGGCATTCTTGCAAAGATGAAAGAACCCTATTTATTAGCGTCGAAGATTCAAGATGGCGTATGACAGCGCGAGATGCAGGTAAACAAGGTAAACCATAGGCATAGGCATAGAGCCTAAGGCTAGATGTAAACAAACAATAATGCTGCAGGTGATCAGGATTTATTAGTCTACATTATTTACATGTACCTAAATTCCTATTATAGACAATACACGATCTGTACCTATACATATATATGCATACATACATTCATAAATTCATAAATTTATTGCAATGTCAAGTTAATTACTATAAATTAGTAATAGTAAGCAATCAAGTACCTAATTAGCATAGCTACTAGTACTACTACTACTACTAGTACTATTACTACTAAGCGCGTAGACAACCTCCTAGCTAGTAGTTAGCGAGCTCGACCACACCGCGCTCACTATAGTCCCCCAGCAGGGTACTCCCGCGAACTAGACAGTCTGCAGCCCCGGAATCATCCGCGCCGAAGGCGCTCAACCGCCACCGCGGTAGCGGCCACTTTTTAGCAATGTCGCTGCTTACCCAACGCAAAGTATCGCCGGTCCTTCCAGGAGAGGCTTGAAGCCGGCTTTTTCGATGAATTGAGGCAGTTCTGCCCATTGCACGAGGATCTCACTAACCGCAGTTATGTAGAGACGAGCTAGAAATGCTGCGCAATTTCGTAGGCTACTAGGCGCGTTGTTCTTTTCTGTAATAACGGAGTTTTTGTTGACATTGTAACAATATATATCGCTCATGCGTTAGCGTTGACATGGCTGAGATTAGAGGATACGCTATATACGAATTCGTCTTCGCTATTCGTAGTACATTAAGTTAGTTTCATTGTCACTGTTATCTGCTATTGTATCTCTGCATAGTTACACTCCTCATCAAACTAAAGTCTAGTAAAGATTTCAACATGGTGGCAGAAGTGCCTAAACTGTGAACAGTGGGAAGCTTGAACTGTAAGTGTTCCGTAAGAATTCACGATGGAAATTTCCGGAGTGCTCCGACTCGGACGGCCCAAGGATAGAGAACATGAGTCCCAATAAAAACCAATGTGCCTCGTACTCGTGATTCTACAGGCACCTAGGCTATATATATATATATAATCTAACACGATCCCCCAATGCGAGCATCGAATTGTATCCACACCTACGAATACTTCTATTGACTACAAGTAACATGTTACATAATTACTAGTAGTAGTAAGTAACTACTAGTACTATCTACTAGTACTACTAAGTACCAGGACTACTAGTACTACAGGTAATAACTAGTACTAGTACTAGTTACTACCAGGAGCTAATAATGACAAACTTGTTACGTACTAGTAAGTTACTTAATATTAATATGACGACTCCTGTTAGTGTTTAACTAGTACTCCTACTAAAATATAAATAAAATATAATGCTAATAAATACGAATTCTATTTACTACACTTCTTCATGTTTCTTATAGCAGAGGCCTACTCTTTTGACCTATTATTGCCGAGTTTCTGTCCAATTTCCGTCGAAATCCTACGTCCAACGTACGCCTGCCGTGGCATTATCTCGCGGGCGCGACTGTTGCACGCCTTACACAAATATATAATAGCAGGTAGGAAAGCGTGCTGGCAAAATTCGGCTCAGACGCTGCGGCACCTTAATTTGAAACCTTCACAGCACGATATACACATTCAACAGCTTCGCATCTTTGTTTCTTCTCACTTGAACAACAGTATTCACGTTGTTTATAAAAACATAATTCGTCTCTTGTTCGTAAACCGACGCTTGTCATGCGAAATCACACAGACTGACGAAATTCTCCCTCGCGTTCGGCGCGAACCTTGGCCCAGTAATGGAAATGGCTGTCAGCCGGCAACAACCTGCAATCGTTTTTGCAACGTTCCATGGCCGAGGCTCCCGGTACGCCGGGAAGAATAAAAAAAGAAAAGGTTTTTGCACCCTCGTGGTGGAAAAAAAGGCAGTGGCGGCCGCCTGGCGCCCCTATAGCGCACGACTGCAAGCTCGCTTCCACCTCTTGCGCTTAGCCTTAGTCAACTCGATGGGTAATCGAGGTGGGAGTGAGTCGCCAGTCTATATACGCCTCTTGTCCTTGCAGCCATTGTCATTCCCTGGGCAAGGTTCGCGAACACGAAAAATTTCGGTCAGTCTTTCTGTGATTTCGCGTGACATCATGCTAGGTTTACGAAACGAGACATTATGTTTTTATAACAAGCTTGAACATGGTTTCTCACGTCCCCATAATGTCTGCCCTCTGTGTCCGCCACTAAAATTGTGGACTGTTCGCTTGGCATGCTATGGATGCGTGCGCCGGCAGTAAGCTATTCGGCGCACGGTCCATAGCTGCAGCGCTGCATACTGTCCGTAGGACGTTCCCGTCCTCGCGGTCCGCGTGCGCCTTTGCCAGCGGAACTGGCGCGCACGATCTGGCGCTCGAGCACTTCGGGTCAACAACACCTTCTTTCGGCAACATGTTCCTAGAATCCCCCCCTCGCCCCCACCGTCTCATTCTGCGATACAATAATGTAACCCAACCCAAGAGGATAGGCGTAACCCCTATCCTCTTGGGTTTGGGTTACATTATTGTATCTATGCCGGAACGTACCCTGGTAATTATTTGATATGGGTTAGGGTTAGGGTTAGGGAGTAAGCGCCGCTATACTAAGCTTGGCGATTCCTTAGAGCTCGTTCGTGGAGTAGGCGACGGTACGGTCCGGTCAGTATTAGATAGTACCAGGGATCGGGTTAGCGTTTTCCGGTATACCGGACCGTACTTTGGCCTACTCCATCTATACTAGTCTTGGTCAATCGCCTACCGCTTACCTCCCTAACCCTAACCCCTAACCATATCCAAATAGTTACCAGGGTACGTTTGGCAGTACTCTGGGGGACATAGGACCCTAGATGAACTCCGTTAAGTAGCCTGTTACGCGTAGTATTTGCATCTCGCCCGAAACTGGAACGGCTCCTAAGTGCGGGCCATGGCGCGCAGCTCTTTTTGTTTTTCTCGTTTGGTTTGTTGTTGTTTAAATCTTGTTTTTGCAGGACCGTAGGAAATAGTCAGCCATGCTCTTGTTTTTCTTTTGGTTTCGCGCTGTAACCTGACACACATAAACATCTTTACTAACTTTTAACTACAGCTGAGAGGGTCTAGTGTCCCCCAGGGTACTGGCGGAACGTACGCTGGGTACGGTCGTATATCCGGAACGCTACCCCTGTACTATCTAATATGCCGGACCGTCCTCGCCTACTCCACTAATGAGTCTAGGGAGTCGCCTAATTGCCCCTAATTTCCCTAACCCTAATCCTAACCCTAACCCTAACCCTAACCATATCAAGATAAGTTACCAGGGTACGTTCCAGCAGTACCCTGGGGACTATAGAACCTATGAGCCTTACTACATTTGGGGTGTGTCTATATTCAGGCGCCAAGACCCATACGGAGATAATTTGCATATTTTTTTCAGCTGGTCGGTTTGTGTTATAACCAATCGGATGTAATCGCGGTGGAGAAGGAGGGGAGAAGCTAGGTGGAGAAGGAGGAGGGGGAGAAGGGCAAGAAGGTGGGGTGAGGAGGGGGAGAGCTGGTCGGAGAAGGAGAGGGAGAAGCTGGTGGACGGAGGTGGTGAGAAGGAGGAGGTGTGGAGAAGGTGGGCAGGGAGGTGCCCTTCTCCCTGGCACCACGTTCTCCCTTCTCCACGCACCTTCCAGCCACCAGCCCTTTTTTCTCCCCTCGATGGCCACACCACATCCCCTTCTCCCATGAGCTTCTCCCCCCCTCTCCCCTTCTGCCACCAGCTTCTCCCTCCTCTCTGCAACCACCTTTTCCCTCTCCCCTTCCTTCCTTCTCACCAAGCTTTCTCCCCTCCTTCTCACAGCTTCTTCCTCCTCCACACCTTTCTTCCTTCCTCCCGCTCCTCTTACCGGCAGCTTCCTCTTCTTTCTCTTTCTCCACCACCTTCTCCCTTCCCCTTCTCACCCGTTCCTCTCTTCCACCAGCTTCTCCCCTCCTCCTTTCTCCACCCCCTTCTCCCTTCTTTCCTTCTCGCTCCTTCACCATCGTTCTTTCACAGCTGGAAAGTGACGTCAGCGAACACGGCGAATTGACATCTGATCTGGTTTATAAAACACAAAACCACGTGATAAAAATGCAAAAATTATCTCCTGTACCGGCCTGAATATAGACAAACCCTACTACATTGCAAATTGTTTTAATCAAATGTTTCCATGAGTGACCGGGTTGGCCGCCATGTTTGTTTATTGCGACCGTTTTCGATGGGCGAGATGCGCAGGTTACTACTGCGCATGCTGCGCATGTGCACTTAGGAGCGTCCAGTTTCGGGCGAGCGTCCAAATACTATGGTACAGGCCTACTATAGCCCGCGTACAGTAACTGCCGCAGGCTTTCATTCTCGTGGCCTTAAAGTAAGCTCGGATTCGGTAAAAAATCAATAGCAATTGGTTACTAGTATTACGATACAAATATAAGTTACTCACTCTAGCAACCACACCACACATAGTGATTCACTACCAGGTAATTACTTAAATAGCAATCAGTGTATGTGTTGCGTGCAATCTTCCGATCTGCACTATTTCAAGATTGCACTGTGCATTCTCAAGATCACGCAGCGCAATCTACCGATCGGCAGACTGCAGACTTATATATATAATATAAATTATTTTGTGATACGTGGATCTTTGTGAATCAATTCACAGTGTGATTAAAGTGATTCTTTACTCTAGGTTCTAGGATTATTTTCAGGTTAAAATTACGCTACATAAAAAGTTTCATGGCTCAATCACCATTAGAATTTTTTTTTTATGTTTTAAAACTAATGACTACAGTTTGATTACAATGACGGTGGCGCCACTCAAAGCGCATGAGCTGAAAATTTGCGCAAAACGACTTTTCAGCCAAAGGCCACAGACCGAGGGTGTTTCTTATTTATTAATTTAAAAGCAAAAGGATTGTAATATATTATAAACGACATATAGTTTCAGTTATATTGTGGATAAATTTTTCCTAAAATGAACATCGTTCAGTTAAATAGTATTTTGGTATAAATACAATTGCACCTTTGTGATTAGCCCTCGGTCTGTAATGTGCAAAGATATTGGGAAATGCGCAACTTTTTCAGGGTGGCAGCACGCTCGCGGGTGTCAAAGGCGCCGTTCAAATTTTGTGGCGTTGATGTATAATTAATTATAACAATTAAATTAGGTATCTGGTAACAAGTACGTGTGGGTATAGACGATTTGTTATACAGTAAGTACAGTTATATGCAGTAAAATCCTGGAGTCTAGTATCCCTTTAAATGCTTCATAATTTTCTTATCTTTATTTTGCTTCTTCTTTTAACTTAGGGAAAACCATAAATCTTCAGCTCTCATAGTGACTTATGTCAGTCTACGGTAAATGTCATCACTCTCGTGAAATACGCACTATAATGTATCAGTAATGGTGATCTATCGTCTGTTTTAGTCATCGACATTCCCATCATATCATACAGTGAGAAATGAGCTCTGCACGTCGCGAACAAAGTCTGAATGAAGAATCTAAAATCATTGCTATGTTTGCAAAACAGGAGCCATGTGAAGTGACTGCTGATGGAGACATTCTATTTGGCAACGGCAAGCGGATAGTACAGCAGCCATGGTATGATGTGCAAGAGCACTATGAGCCAGTAGCATGTGACCTGCCATCATCAAATTCCAACCTCATGTCCAAGAGTTCCAGGACAGGTGTACCTATTCCTGCACCAAGAAAATGTAACATGGCCGCAAAGGAATCTAGTCGCGAGTCATCTTCGGTCAAGGCAATTCTGGACAGATTTGAGCATAACAATGATGGGGTAAATGCCAATGCTGATCGTAATGCGAAAAGAACGGCACATTCAAACAAAATCGCAACAAATCGTCCCACCAGTTCCGCTCCTGGAGCTCATGGCAAGGTGATGCGAAACAGGAAGGTTCTGAGCAATGCCTTGTCACTGGAAGATATCAGCGAAGGCGAGTGCCTTGAGTTAAAGCTAAGTGAACGGCTGCGTGCGCAGGTCAACGAGGACCTAGCGGCAGCCGGTCTCGAAGGTGACAATCAACTGCTGATACTGGACGAATGTGGCATCAATCTCACGACAGCCAAACCCTCGCGCCAACGTGCGTGTCGTGATTTACAGACACCCACGCTCCAGCAGTCTGCTCTCACACCCGCATCTAAATCCAAACAGAAGTCCGGTCCGTGCTTCGACGTATTGGCCGCGGTTCTCGCCGATGTAGTACGTGACTGCGTTGATGGAAAGGTAGAGACCTGCGGCCGTAGTTCGTCACCGTCGCTGTCACCGTCTTTGTCACCGACGTCGTCATTGCATTCTGACTTTGTTCACCTTGTATGTGACAACACAAACATTGCTGTCCCCTTGCAAGATTCAGTGCAGGGTGAGTCATCATCTCGGAATGTACCGAAAGAACACCTACCGTCTTCTGCCAAATTACACGTATCAGATCGTGTCGCGTTGTGGGGTCAGAGTGCCGAGCGATCGCAGAGACAGAGAGTCATTTCGTCGGCCGTGTGTGAACCCGCTGTCATCACTGACCATGTTCCACCCTCTTCTACACATTTACACGTGTCGGACAGCGCCGCGTCTTTTGGTCAGAGTGGCGAACGATCACACAGACTCACCTCAGCAAATGTTTGTGAACCTGCCGTAGTCTTTGACCATGTTTCACTGATGCACGAGCCTTTAGAAAACTCTCAAATTAATCGGGTGTGCGCCGGTTCAGCAGGAGTAATAAAAAAATCTGGCGACGATGTAAGTGAAAGATCAACTGCTCCGTCTTTGTTGCTGTCGATGCAGAATGAGCGCGATCCACGAGAATGTGGAGCATCCATTCGGCTTGATAGTAATCCTTTTCCTCGCAGCACAGAAGAAGCCACCTCTCCCGACGCCGGCGTGATCCACGCCGATCCGCATCGCGTCGCAACTCGCCGAAGTTCTCGATTCTCGAAAAGCTCCTCGCTCGATTCACGAGTGAACGCCTACGCGTGCTGCCACTGCCGCTGCCACGGAGACGACTCGGCGACAACGCATATCAGCTCAGTGCGACCGCTTGGTGACGAATGGAAAGACGCTCATGTGGTCACCACTGAGCGTGCAGTGACCGAAGGTAACGAGGCTGCAGCGGACAGCGGACTGACGAAGATAAGCGTCGCGCATGCCAACAAACATTCCGTCGAGGACATAAGACGAGTTCCCGACAAAATCTACTGTGCAATATGCAAGCCGAAGGGCGAGCGGAAAATAACGACCGAGAGAGTTCGGAACGGTATGCACAAGCGGATTCCGCACAGAGTCGTCGCAGTTCTGAGTGATGCAACGCAGCCTCTCGACACGGAGGACAGCAGTGGTAGCGATTCAGATTATGGTGTGTACGAGCCGATGAATGAGGAGCGGAAATTTCTCGAGAACCTAAAGCTAGCGAGCATCCAGCCCATGCCAGCAGTTCATGCTGAAGGCAGTGTCCTCATGGGTAACTCTCCAGGACGAGAGCCACTTGATCACAACCCTGATGTTAGCACCGACACAAAAAATAACTGCATTCCGGCCCGGACTGAAATCAGTAGAAGCGGGTACGATCACTCACTAAAGCAAGACAAAATCCTTCCCAATGACCGAGTGCCCGAAGCTCAACAATCGCATGTTGATGTGGAAGACAAATCGCCTGCAAATTCTTCTAGTGAAATTCGCGATGTGGGTTTGGCAAGGAACAGCATACACTCCACATCGTCGCAACACATACACCAGCGTGCCGGTGTTTCCTCTGAGGCTCACATAGATGGAAACCCACTGTACGAGGCTTCCTTTTTCCAAGAAACACCTTCTCTTGCGGAATCCATGCCAGCTGAACATATCTATGAGGCGGTCAGCGTGACCATGACACATTCATCTGGCAAGCAGGAGCGTTCGTGTTCACCTGACAGCAACGATCCAGGCTACGCAGAGATAAATTCCACACTGCTGGGAGGAGACGATACTCTGTCAGTGGCAGTGCAAACAGGTACTTGCTCCCGCATGAAGAATTTATTTGAATATGAGGCACTGTGTGAATGCAGTCCATAGCACCATAGTTGTTTCTATTGTCATATATGTTTTTATAATTTTTATATAACTAGTGCATTTTGCAAGTTTTGAAATTCATCCATCCATCTATCGATTGATTCATTCATGCATCCATCCATCCATCTATTTGTCCATTCATCAATCCATTCGTTTATTCATTAGACCATCTGTCCATCCATCAATCCATCCATCCATCCATCAAACCATCCATCCATCCATCCATCTACCCATTTACAATAAAGAATCCTATGCAACTCATTAAATAAGTTCATTCGGTTGGTAGACTAATATATATAACAGGGTTCATTTTTACTCAACCGTGAAGATTGGAAACGTACTGCTTACGTTTCGCCTCCTGCCAGGAGGCTTTCTCAACTTTCAACTTCTTTTTCAACGTCACCTAAAAAATGCAGGTGTGGCTTCAACAGTTAGACCGTTTGAGACCCTAAAACGGCTTTTGGTACACCCTAAGGACAGAACAGATATGCACAACATTACGGACTGTGTCTACAAGATACCGTGTGCAATGTGTGAAAAAAGTTACATTGGAGAAACCGGCCGAAAATTTGAAACCTGCTTTAAAGAACACAGAAGGACGTAGACACCGTAGCACCCAAATCGTTCACAAGGGCCCAACGAAAACAGTCGGCTACCGAAATCACCAAATCTGCGATCACTGACCACGTAGCGAAGGACAATCACACTATCGATTGAGAGATTTCGAAGATCATCGATCGCGAGCCAATCAAAATCAGGCGTTGGATTAAGGAGGCCATCTAGATTCGCAAGTCCCCGAACACCAACCAGGACGAGGGAGATACAGGCTTAGTCACGTGTGGACTAAGCAATTGACCGCCACACCATCTGGTGGTCAAAACTGATACTCATCAGTTAGCTTTGAGAAAGCCTCCTGGCAGGAGGCGAAACGTAAGCGGTACGTTTCCAATCTTCACGGTTGAGTAAAAATTAACCCTGTTATATATAAGATTCCTATGCAGTATTGTCAATTGGTTGGTGAATACCTGTGGTGCTTTACCTTTGCCCATGTTCGAAGGTCAGAAAGTGCGTTCAGAACCGGTCTACGCCATGGTAGACCGAAGCAAGAAGACGCCTCGGAAGCCAGTGAGCACCGGCAACACGTCTCCATCCTCGACGCCAGCTCCTGTAGCTGCTAACGGA